CCTCTGGCATATGGCAGAGGATCCAGTGATTGGCTCAGCACTGGAGCGGTTGATTCAACCCTGGCATTGCCTCGCTGTGGGTGATTTGATTAGGCCGATGCGTTCGTGCCCCCCTGGCTGTGCTGGGACGGGCGCAGGCGGGCAGGACGCATACGGCCCTGCAGTCCAGACACCGCAGCCGCAGCGGCTCTCCACCACTTATCTTGTTTCCTTGGGTCGAGTTGAGAGGAAAACATGGCACCCGGGGAAAAACCCCACAGCATTCCTCAGACAATGCCCCAGTCTGCATAGCAGAAACAGATGGGAGCTCTGGCTCTGCCGCCTCAGCTCAACTCTAGTTTGTCATCCATTGTTTTTCTTCTTTTTAAAATGTTTTATTGCAGTCTAGTGCTGCATTGGCGTTTTCAGCTTGTGAAGCAAAACTACAGTTGCAACTTACGATTATTTTAGTAATTAATTATTCCGACGATTCATCTGATAAAGAAAATCCCCACATTCTACTGATTTTTTTAAATTAGCCATTTAAGTTTGTATGTACAGAATTAGAAATACATTAAAGATGTGAATAAACAAATAATCCAGTTCCTTCTTCAAATAAGAAATTAAGCATTTTATGACCCAACATGCTGTAACAGCATTCCCTTAGTGAACGTCAGATCATGTATAGCAAATGATGCATCTGCAGCTAAAATAACACTTAATAACCTCAACATGTGCTGGACTTAACAGCAGTACAGTACAGACAATACAGGAGGTTTTTTGTTTTGTTTTTTTTTACAGAGTTTGAACCAGGTGAAGCTAAAACTGCCAGGAGTTCTGGGTAAAAATGTGTTTACATACAAACAAGGGTGATTTTTATCATGAATGTAAAATGTATTTATGTTTTGTACAGATTGGTTTAATTACAGCTCTGACTGTTTTGTTCTTTAAGCAGCTGGTCGTTTTTTGAGTCTATCTACTCCAGTTAATGATTAATCAATCACTAAATTAGTTGACGATTATTTCAGTAACCGATTAATCATGATTAAGTCAATTAATTGTTTCAGTGTTTTTTCTTGGATAAAGGTAATGATTAAAGCAGATATTTAAATGACAGGTTGCACACAGATATCAAAAGTATATTTTACTTTAGTTCCTGTACTCTCCTGGTTCTCTGTACTTCTACCAACATTTATCATAAACCCCTGAAGCTGTGGCGCATCTCTTTGACCTTTCCATCAAAATTTAATGTCTGACTTAATGCAGCTTGTTTAAAATTCACCAGCAAAGACAAGAATCTACCTGAGATCTGATGGGGTTTTTTATCTTATTTTGAGGGCAGCATTGCACTCCTTGTAACTGAGATCAAGACCTGCCTTTCAGGAGGAAGATCAGCATGGCGGCTGATGATGATGAAGATGATGATGATGCATGGGTATCAGGATCATCGAAATTCAGACCCTGCCTTGGAGTCTCCAGATGGTTGTGGTGACATCAAAAGAAAAAGGAAAAGAAAGAAATGGAAAAGGTGTTGGGTTAGATAATCAATAAGATAATGGAGGTCTGCTGTGGAAGGTTCATTTCTGATCAGAGGCTAATTGCTTTTTAAATTGAAAATGTTTTTATGTTGGCTCTGCTGAGATCTGGCTGGCAGATGTAGGACTGCAGTTAAAGTCAAGATTTGTTCTGATATGAAAAAAAGCAGGCAGTTCGTAACTCCAGATATCAATTTGAGCTACAAGATGATTTTCCGCAAAAGAAAATCTATAAAAACCAAGAACTAATGGGCCTGCCAACATGATCAGACCCGCTAACTCTGTCATTAAAAACGAACAAAGGGTTGCGTAAATGAAACCGTGTTTGATAGACACTCTCCTCTGTTGCTGCACTTAATCTGTCCGACAGCTTCACATTCCCTCCAGCTGCACCATTAGCTCTGAGCAGAAAAGCAATTTAGTGCTGACAGTTTATTGCTGAGTAAGCCATATCGAGATGAATATTTGGGAGCTGCACGCTCACAAAGCAGCCTGCATGTTTTCCCTGATTAAAGGAGGCCAAGACTCGACAGAGCAAAGAAGGAAAACATGTAAAGATTTAGACAGGAAGTAGCTCCAAATACAACGCAGCATTTTAATTGTCAACTTATTTTACTCTCTGTGTCTTATTTAGCAATAGATGATCTGATTCATGCAAAAATATTTCTGTTTTTTTATGCTTTATATTTTAGAAAAGAAACTTTTTATCCAGATTTCAAACTTTAGAGACTGATCAGTCAGTTTCCCCTTTCTGGATTGAAATGACTAAACTTTAATCATTTTTGTAAAAGAATACATTACTTTATGCACATTCAAACACATTCATTAATTGTATAATAGAGATTGAATCATTGCCAAACAAAATATACATTATTCCAAATCAGTAAAACCATTATGCACGGTGGGCCCTCTAGTGGTCGGCATGAGAACAGCCACACACCTCTTTTGATTTTCATTGTAAAAGCTGGTTTTGCTTTGCAATTTTGTTTATTGTAACTGGGTCAGTTTGTTGATCTTGCTAGTGAAGAATTGAGGTTTAATTATAAAACAGGAGAGCATAAAGGAAGAACTGTTCTTCTACAACTGAGCTCATTTATGTGTTAAGGTCCTCAGTGAACCAGAACCTGCCGATAAAATACAGATTCATCAACATCATCTTTTTTTCTCAGAGCTTCTTCTAAGTGTGTTATGATGCACTTCTTTGGTCTTCTAGTGAAACAATATTTGCATACTAGAATAATTGTGATCTTTTTTTCATAAAACCCCTAAGTGTGAATAAATACGGTTGAAGTTTAACTTGTGTAACATCAAACGTCTGAGACGATCTTATTTGGTATATTTGCTAATACCCCACATCCTAAAGTCTGTCTTCTTAATTTCTCAATAAATCTGTTTTCTGTGTGTTTCAGTTCTTTCTCTCTCTGACCAGAATGTCATTATGTTTAGATATATGAAAATGTATTAAATTAATCATTTAGAATAAATCCAGAATGTGAAGAGAGCTGAACTTTCTTGGATCAAATTGTAGAGTTGCACTTACCTCCCTCTGATAGTAACTCATTGATTAAAAGTGATAAATCATCTGACCATGGAGTGAATGGGTGACATCTACCTATAATTTACCAGTTTTAGACATTCCTGGGTTGATTTATAAATTCCATATTTGAATCAGGTTGAATTTGCCCACATTGGCGATAAATCCCTTTTTTAATCCATAAATTACCTCAAACAACTAGATGTATTCATTTTAACAGGTTCATAAAATAATTACTTCTAAATAAAACATGTTTGTTTTAGTTGCACATTTTTATAACTTTATATCAAAATTCTACTTGTCATTTCTCTTAACTGGATTTAGTCTGAATTCACCTGCATGTTTAAACTGTAGAACAAACTGTAGAACAAACTGTAGAACAAACTGGCCTCACTACATTATTGTCACCGTTTATTGGAAAATGATGGCAACACGTGAAAGTATCCAGTGGTTGTCATGGCAACCCCCTACAACGTGTTGATCTGAAGTCAAACTGCAGTCCGCTGCTGACTGTCTTCAGTGACTCTCCGCATCAGGATTTAGAAACCGGATTAACCCCGCCATCACTTGATGACAGGAGGTCTGCGCATGCGCTGGAGATGTCCTGACCACATGAGTTCAGGTCACAAATGCGTCAAAACGGCAGAAATAGCAGGCGGAGGAACGGAAGTTGAGTGGGAGACTACCAAAATAAAAGGAGCGAAACTGAAGCAAGATTTTAACTGAAGCAAGATTCTAATTTTGTAATGCTTGGATTTCTAATAAAGTTTTAAGCAAAGCAAAACCAGAAGCCATCATGCAGGAAATATAAATGTATAAATAATCACTGTAACAGTGAACTGTATTGATTTTGGTTCATCGCATGTTGTTGAATGTTTTTGTGGGGTTCAACAGAAAAAGTGTCTGATGCAGATGGATTTTTTCTACAATAAAATCAAAATTATTACTGGCAAAGTAAAATTTCAATAATAGGAAATAGTGCAAAAAATCAAAACAAAAAAAACATTGTCTTTCAGTAACCAAGCCTTTTGTTTTCTCTTTAATAGTAAAAAACACATTTATTAAATTATTTCCACTTGGGCTTTTAGAGAACCTAAATCCAATTTTAATTACTTTATTAAATCTGGCTTAATGCAGCAAGCATTTCTAAAGAGACTGACCCAAATCCTGATGCTGAGAAGGTCTCGGTTCGGTTGATGCGGAGTTCACTTCGCTTGTGTGGCATTACCCAGAAGGCCTTGGGTGGCATTACCCAGAAGGCCTTGGGTGGCATTACCCAGAAGGCCTTGGGTGGCATTACCCAGAAGGCCTTGTGTAGCATTCTGGGTAAATACAAACATGCAAGTGTAGCGCTAGCGTAAGAAATGGCTTGTAGTTTATTACCAAATACAAAATAGAAAACTAATAATGGCTGAAATCTGACGCCTCTACATTTCGGGAATCAATACTTCAGTTTGTTAGCTTCCCTCCAGAACAGGCTAGTGTGTAGTTCGGCTCGCTTGCTGGTAAACTCGTGTCCGTCCGTCCTGCTCCGCTGGCGGCGCAAAAGCAGAGAGGAGGGAGATGAACGCTTTAAAGAACTTTATTCTCTTTTGACAGGGTGAAACATGTACAGCGTGCTGGACGACTGGCTTCCATAAAACTATCACCCGCAGCTACAACAACCGGTAGTTTCTCCCACTCATTTTTTTCTTCCCAACAACATACTCTCTACTGCCCCCTATATGCAGTTTTGGTCCCCAATGAATCAAGTCCATCTGACTATCAGGTGTGAAAACAGCCGTAATTGTTTTTGATGATTTTGGCCCACGTGACAAAAAGCTTGGCCACCACTGGGCTGTTTGTTTCGTCTCTTGTCGTTTGCTTGTTTTACATGTTAGTTTTACTTTATTTTGAAAGTGTAAAGGGAAGCAGCGACTTTATGACAAGCAGTTTGACCTCAGTGTAAATCACGACGTTTCTCCAGCAGCGGCGGCCGTTGCTCAGAGCATCAGAGCGCTGATCCTCCTCCTCTCTCTCTCTGTGTGTGTGAGTGTGTGTGCATGTGTGTGAGTGTGAGTGTGTGTGTGTGTCGGGGAGGCGTGCAGCATGTTGTCACAGATCCACTGAACGCTGTTTTATTTTCTGCCCAACTCCCAGCAGGGTGTAGAGCTCCCACCATGGGTTAGACAGAAAGCCACCTATGGATTATCCACTTTATGCACTTCATGGAGGATGAAGGGCTCGGGTGGGGGGGACAGAATGGACTTATTTTCGGAGAGACATCCTGACAAAGACGGGGACTGAACAGTGACCGGGATCGGCAGCCCCCCCAATCCGACTCGCTCTGCACATTTTTCTTTTTTGTTACCATTTTTTCTATATTTTTTATTCTAATTATTATTAATGTGATTCCCTGAAGTCTGCGTGGAGCAGAGATGTTCGCTGAACTGCTGTGCGGCGCCGTGGCTCTGGTCCTGTACGTCAACACTCTGGGAGCCGATTTCTGCTACGATGACAGGTACTTCCCTCACTGAATGAAGCGCACTCCGAATCGGCGGGTCCAGCGCCGCCGGTTCGGTTCTGGCTCGGTTCTGTTCACCCTTTCCATGAATTCGAGCAGCAGAGGGCGAACATCAGGTATCGGAGAGGAATGTGGGTTTGAGCAGCTGCTGAGTGATGGTTCGGGAAATCTCTGTCGGATTTCTCACACGTGTGTCTGCGTGGATTCGGCTCTTCTGATTTCATCTGCAGTGGATCTCTGTGGATCCACTTTCCTTTAAGGTTAACCGTGAAAGTTGTAAATAAGCAAACATCCTTAAGTGAAGTCGAGAGTGAGAACTTCCTGAAAGTATTTTCAGGATATTTCTGATATTGAAGTTTTTGCAGCGATATATCCAGGACTGAACGATTAATTGGATTAATCCTCAACTTCTCGGTGGGCGATTTAGACTTGAAGCTTTATTACGATATTTTGTAGTACTATTATGAAAAAGATAAAAAAAAATTGTGGTGGAAAAACTATTTATTGGTTCATTTTTTGGTATCTGTATTGATGTGACCACAGCACAGCGATCATAGAAATACTCCAGTTGAAGTGAGACTCATTAGAAATTGGAGCTTCTTACTTAAAGTGTGGTTTATATCACTGAGACAGTAACTACATTTAACCATGACCTTCACATTTGCTTATATTTATTGATCTTGTGGAACAAACAGCAGATAAAATAAAACTAGTGTTTCTGATAAGATGAGTTTTGTTTTTTAACATTAATTGAAATTTATCAAGATAAAAATAAATCAAAATTCTTATGATTGAAGTTTTCACGAGTAATTAATCGATTATGATTAATCATCAGAATAATCGATTACTGAAGCAGTCATCAGTTGCCGTCCTGAATGTATCGTTTTAACGTCAGTGTTCTGCCTTCGGGTTGGTAGTGAAATTTGACCTGGATGTCTCAGTTTATCGTGTTTTAGCCTCGCAGAAGAAGCCTGAGTCGTGCAGCTGAATGAAAGTGTCTCTGGCCTCAGTTTCAGACTTTTAAGATGTGAAACTGGGAGCAGCATATTGTATTATTATTATTAAAAATATGGAGCGTTGTCAGCCTCTCAGGCGGGACGTGCGCGGGGCTCGGCTGGCTCTCACGCGGGGTAATGCATTACTCATAGCTGGCCTTTTGATATTTGACGGCTGAATGCTTGTCACTGCCTCAGGCTCTTTATTCACCAGTCATGTCTTCATGTAGGTCACAATCATTTCCTTTCTTCGTATGAACTTCCTGTCTTCACCTCATCTTTTAAAGAGAAGCTGTTAAATGATTCGGCTCAGTTTTCTGCTGTGTTATGTATCTAATGTTGATCTCGGGGAACAAACAGTGAATTAACTGTTTCCTTTACAACTCCACTGACTGCTGTGCATTAAAACACTTCCTGTTCCAGACTTCCATGGCTGACAGACTGCTGCTTTCCTTTTTCTCTCACTTCATTTTATACCAGTCATTGTTTGGTTTCTGGGATGAAGTTGTTTAATTTTTATTTTTTTTAAAGTTACGGTTTTAAAACAACAGAAATACTTGCAGATGCCAAAGAAACCTCTGCAGGCACTGGACTTTTATTCAGTCCCCTTCCTGTCTTTAGCTGCACACTGCCAGTCAGCTGGATGAATGGAGGCTGACACATTTGTCCTTTGTTTACATGAAAAATCATTTTACCTGTTTGGAAACATTTCCAGCAGTAAAACTAATTATATTCCATTACTGCACAAACAGCATTTTACTGATAACTACTTCAAGTGTTAGCAGGTGCTTCACTCTGTTATGTGTTTTACAATTTGTACAAATTGGAAATTTGTACAAATTGTACAATAAATTGTATTTATTGGATTTATTGGGACAATAAATCCCAGATTTTCTCTGAGCGTTAGCATCTCAGCCGCTAAGATCTGGATGAGGTTTGGGTAAAAATGATAAAAGTTCATTCTGCTTCTAATATTGGAAAACGGAGTGAAACATTCTGCCTATAGCATCCAACTAAAGCAAATACCTGTCATAGATAAGATTATAATGTTAAAATTCAAAAAGATTTTATTTATGCCAAAGGGAAACAACAAGTATCTTTCAAGCGTCATTGCTGCTGCTGCTGTAGGCAGGAAGAATCTCCAGTAGCAGTCAGTCTCACATCTAATCTGAAGAAGCCTCTGACTGCAGAATGTTGCTTATGACCGTCATGACATTCTAACAGCTGAAAATCTGAACAGCAGAGAGAATATTCCAGAGTAGCTGGTCTTCCGTGTCGTCGACAAACTCTGCTAATCCAGCTCCTTTGCTTTTGCTGCTTCTGTTTAAATCTCTGAGGCGTTTTTTTTTTTTATACTTCCTCCTTCTCTCTCTGCTCTGCATCCATGAAGCGTCCTCTTCAGCTCCTCTGGGGATGGGGGTCAAAGGTCAGGTATTATTTGAGGTTTTGAGATGCTAATCAGCTTTTCCCAGTTGTAAAAACAATATATTGTTGCCATGGTTACATCACAAAAAGAGCTAAAATCCTTCCAGTTGCACAGCGTCCAGAACCAGAGGGAAAGATTTTCCAAACAGCAACAATTCAACCAGAAAAGTCACAAAACAGAACCAGCAGAGTGACACTGGTCTAGAAATAATCCAATAAATCTTTGCAGTACATTTATACATTTTTGTTTGTCTTTATGAATTAAAAGCTCTTAGATCAAGTTATATTTGTAGGTTTTAAATGGCGTAGAAACAGTGAAGTTTATCAGACGTCAGGCTGTCCCCGTTTCTGTGTCCACAAAGCTGTAAAAAGAGGCGGGAGCTGCTGTATAATTTCACAAAGCCATATTCTTGTTTTTATGAGAAAATCCTATCAAAAAGTCATATTTTATTCGCCATGGTGTGAGTAATTGGAGGTTCCTCATGAAGCGTGCGGACGGCGTGCTTAGCCAGCCTCAGCTGACATCATTTTTTCATCTCAGGCTATCTGTCATCCAGCCTTATCCGTTTTTAACGCCACGCGTTCAGGCTTGCAATTAGCAGCCGTATGTCTCCACGGGCTGCACTGAGGGGGAAAGAGAGGGAGGGAGGCCGGGTGCAGCCGCGTTTATTTATATATTTATTTAGGAGGGAAACAGTCTGGGATGCACAGACTGATCTAACTTGCTAATGTTGTCGGAGTGGAGATAAAGCTCACATGACTGGTGAAGAAGCTGGAAGACGACGAAAGCATGACGGCAATAAATCAAACCATGAGCTTACACAAACACCCTGCAGGCATGCAGACCAGAGGTGTCCATAATTTACTGGCAAAGACATCAGTCATAGATAATGTAACGTTTTATGCAGAGAGAAGGAAGATCCATTGCTGATGTTTTTCCATTTTGTGCCTCTAAGCAGAATTGAATGAATCTGGTTGATAATTTAGCAGGAAATGATTCTGGCTGCTTTGTCACAGAGTAACATTGATCTCTGAGATGATTGATGATGTTCGGCTGTTCCTGGTGTTTGATTGGCTCACAGAAACAAGATGAAGCTGCTCTCCAATGTGTGTTCAGTGGTTTCACTTTAATCGGATTGTATAGTTAACTAGCGACCGGGCCGACCAGGAGGTCAGATTTTAACGACCAAAACAGTTTTGTGAGCATGCAGTCAGTTCCAGCAGCTCTCCGCAGAAAAATGGCTTCCTGGAGGAGTGACCCGTGCTGCCGTGCCAAATCGCCCCAGGGGATGCTCTTCCTCTTCCTCACTCATCAACCCAGCTTTGACACCTGCTCTGGAAAATAGAAATAATGAGTCATTTAGGTCATATCTCTGCTTCTGCTGTCCACTGCAGGTCTGACAGCAGTGGATAGCACCGATAAAGTCGGAGGAAAGAATATTATGCGGTGCTGAGGTTACACAATGATTTAGGTTTTGTAATATTCCTAAAACAAAGCTCAAAATAAACTTTTTCTTTTAGTATTTAATGCGTCAGACCTACACACAACAATGTAATGCTGGTCAGAGTTTATGGGAAAATGGATGGAGCTAAATCTGGACAATCCTGGAATAAAACCTGCTGAGTTGGTAAAGCATTAGCATTAGCAGAACTAACGTTTATGGTTAGTGCTTCACAGACTGTGCAGCTAACATTTTCCAACCATCACATATGAAAGAGTTGATGGAAACAGTAAAATTTGAAATAACTTCCTCACTTTCTACGCTGCTTGAGATGTTCTTGGATTTTTCTAAAAAGACTCTGTGACAGAATAAGATCTGACGTAGCGAACTCCCATCCACTGGTGGATCTGCCGTTATGCGACACGAAGCTTGGAAACATGTCCAAGTCCAAACCTTCAACCTTGAGTTGTTCATGCTAGTTAGCAGTCTCTTTCCAGTCATTACAGCTATGCTTAACGTCAGAATTTATGTAGCCTGGTTGATTTGCTCCAAAATCAGATGGAAACGCATCTTTTTCACATTTTCTTTTTTGTTTCATTTTAAAGTTCGCTCATGATGATTAAACAGAAACATAGATTCTACAACAAACCTCCAAAACCTGCAGCTGTTTCTGCAGCAAAAGGTGGTTTCAAATTAGCATTTTCTTTCCACACAATAATACGCTGTTGGTCACTTACCTGAAGTGTGAATAAAGTGGGCTTATTCTTGTCTTGTGAGAAAATGTGTATAATTTTTGCAAGGCTCTGTTAGTTTCACCTCCACTCAGACAGACAGGGTTTATGGATTAGCCCTCCTGCCAGGACGGCGACATGTTTGACGGACTGCATCCTCGTCATTACTCTGTCCTGCTGTGGTACCGTAAGACCTGGCTGGGTGAGGATGTGTGAAGGTTGCAGGTCAAAAGGAAGGACGCAGCTTCCCCGGGCGTAGCGGATGATTTATATCCAGGAGTCAAACTGTAGATAACAGCAAAACTACTCCAACCTCTGAATTCACAGACAGAGGACAGATGATGAAGGGCAGCAGAAACGGAGTTCTAGTTTCACCTTGTCCATCTCAGATGAAGAACGGACTG